GTTGCAGAACTTCATCCCCCTGAAAGGCAGCCCGTCTGCCCCCAGGAGAGGCCACTCCCCACCTCCAGTCCAGGCCCCTCTGAGCTACTGCCTGTCTGAATTTCCCTGTTCTGGACCCGGCATGGAATGGAGCCCTGGTGGCCTGTCTGGCTCAGGACAGCGCGGCTGTCCGAGGTTCTCCCGTGTCGCAGCCAATGCCAGAAAGTCGCTCCCCTTTACTGCCCACTTGCTCCAGCGTTTGGAGGTGCCTTTGTTTATCCACTCGCTAGCGGCGTGGATATTGGCACGTTTTGACTTGGGAATAATGCTGCTGGGAACATTTGTGTGTTGTGTGGACATGTTTTCACTTCTCGTGGGCATGTAACTAGGAGCAGAATTGCTGGCTCACAGGGCGACTCTGTTTAGCCTTCTGTGGAACTGCAGACCTGCTTTCCACGCGGCTGCACCTTGTACGTCTCCCCAGCTGTGAGGGTTCTGACTCCTCCACATCCTCTGACACTTGTTAGCGTCTGTCTTTAACCACAGCTATCCTCGTGGTGAGGTTTGGTTTGCATTTTCCAAGTGACTGATGATATTGAGCATTTAAAAAAAAATACTATTTTATTGATTCCAGAGAGGGAGAGAAACATCAATGATGAGAGAATCATCAGCTGCCTCCTGCTCGCCCCACACTGGGGATCGAGTCCGAAACCCGGGCCTGTGCCCTGACCGGAATCCAACCGTGACCTCCTGGTTCATAGGTCGGCGCTCAACCACTGAGCCACACCAGCCAGGCTTGAGCATCTTTTCATGTGACTTTTGGGCCCCCCCCCCCTGCGCTTTTTTGTTTTTTGTTGTTTTGTTTTGTTTTGTTTTGTTTTGTTTAACCTCACATGAGAACATGGAGAGAGAGGGAGAGCGCAGGGGGACGGGGCTGCCTCCATGGGCTGCCTCCCGTGCCCGCCCCAACTGGGCACTGAACCCACAACCCTTCCGTGCACAGGACGGCTTGGCTCCGGTTTTACGGAAGCAGAAAGGGGCTGGGGGTGGCCGCACGAGGGGGAGAATGAGGACAGAGAGGGCGTGTGTCCCTGCCGCTGGCGGATACTCCCCACGCGGCGTGGAACTACCGTCCTCACGCGTGGGCGCTTGGTAAGGACGGCGGGTCCCCAGGTCCTCGGAGGAGCAGCTGAGCCGCGCCTACCACCTGCTGACGGCCCAGCTGAGGCAGGAGCACGCCGAGGTCCGCCTCTCCGCCTTCCAGGTCGCCCAGGAGCTCTTCGCCCGCTCCCACCTGTTCCGGCTGCTGGTCGTCTCCGACTTCCAGGGGTTCCTGGAGCTCACGCTGGGCACCC